TTTGTTACTTGTAGTAATGTTTTGTAATTTTCTTTTAATAGATGCTTTGTGCTTCTGGTTAGATTTACTCCCACGTATTTAATCTTGTGATTAGCTATTGTGAAGGGTATTGTTTTTCTTAGCTCCGGCTCTGTATTCTTTGTCACTGTAGAGAAATCCAACTGATTTTTGTATGTTGACCTTGTATCCTGCTACTTTGCTGAATTGGTCAACAAGTGAATTTTATCAAACATTCAGAGAAAAACTGTCACTAATTATACATAAACTATTTCAGAAAATAGAAAAAGATAGAATTCTCCCAGACTCATTCTATGAAGCAAACATATCCTTAATACCAAAGCCAGGAAAGGACACCACCAAAATAGAAAACTATAGACAGTATCTCTTAAATCCTGAATAAAATACTGGCCAATAGAATCCAACAATACATCAAAGAAATAATTTACCATGACCAAGTGGGGTTGATAACAGGTATGCAAGGATGGTTCAACATAAGAAAAACAATTAATGCAATTCATCACATTAACAAAGCAAAGAACAAGAACTACATGATCCTATCAATTGATGCAGAAAGGCCTTCGACAAAACCCAACACCCTTTTCTGATTAAAACACTCTATAAAATAGGATTAGAGGATAATTTCTTCAACATAGTAAAAAGTGTTTATGAAAACCAGAGAGCCAACATTGTTCTCAGTGGAGAGAGGTTAAAGGCATTCCCTTTAAGAACAGGAATTAGGCAAGGATGCCCACTATCACCTCTTTTATTCAATATTGTATTGGAAGTCTTAACGATAGCAATAAGAGAAGGAAATAAGAGGTATCCAAATAGGCAAAGAGGAGGTAAAATTGTCTCTGTATGCAGATGATATGATAGTATACTTAGAAAATCCTAAAGACTCAGCAAGAAAACTATTGGACATAGTTGAAATTTCTTTAAAAATCTGAACAAGGAAATTCCATATGATCTAGCTATCCCACTGCTAGAAATATATATACCCTAAGGAAATTAAAACTGAAACACAAACAGAGATACATACATTTAATGTTATTAGTAGTTTTCATCTCAATAGAAAGAAAATGGAAAGAGTCCAAATATCCATTAACAAATTAATGGACTGAGAAATTATGATACATTCACACAATGGAATACTATGAAGCATGAAGGAACAATGATTTTGCAAAATACTATAGAACATGGGAGAACCTAGAAAGCATTATGCTGAGTGAATTAATTCAGTCTCATAAGGACAAATACTGCATAAAACCATTATTGTAAAAAAAACAGAAGGACAGCTAATAAGATGTATACAAAATGTCCAAAAGGGGAAGGAGAAAGAAAGAGGTCAGAAAAAGGGAAAGAGTGGAAACTACTAGGATAGCAAAGTTTAGTGGGCTGATGAGGGAATAAAGGAATAGAAACAATTCAATGGGGATTGGAAAAGACAGGATAATACTAGACAGTTATCCTTAGGTACAGTCAAATCAAGTATGACTCATAATGACCATAGATCAATAGTGATTAATAATATAAAATACAATGTATATGAATGAATTTATGAAACACAATGTAAATGAAAGATTCTAAAAACACAATATATATGAATGAAACAGTGTAAATGAACTGTTGTATGCAAACCAATAAAAAAATGTTAAAATTTGCATGTGAATTTTTAATATAGTTATAAATATTAAATACATATATTTTGTGGAAAGATAAAAAATATAGTGAGATCATAAAAGTCTTTAAAACTTTAAAAGAGTTTTATTTTATAATGATAATCTTCACCTTGTTTTTTACTTATGTTTTCCAGGTACAACTCATGAAACATTTTCTTTCATAATTATTGTTTTGGTCAGATGATTATTTTATAAAGGATACATGTTGAACATTCTAGTGCAGTGTGAAATATAAATACTACTAATTCACAAGTCCTAATGCTGTTCTTTTAATTTGCAGTGAAGGGAATTTGGCCACAAAGCAAGTGGTATTTCTTCAGAGGCCAATGACGGGTAATTCCGCTGCTCAAACACCAGAGGTGAGTAAAGTTGAAGCTGTTGAATATTTAATCCTTCCCTGCAACTTGATATTAATACAGTCTTCTCAATCTGTATGTAAGAAGGAAATTTGCCAGGGATCAAGAAATGTAAGACAGTTCTAATTTTTGTGGTGACTGAACTTTATCTTGCAATAGATTTGTGCAATCTGTCTTGACCTCTACCTGCACTTTTATATTGTCTCCTCAGGTTCTGTTTTAGCTCTTTGTAAAAGGGTTATGCTGAGTTTCAAGTCACCTTTTTTCTTACTGATTTCACAAGCAGAATATTATCAATGAATGAAGAAATTTACAGACTAATAAAGCATCATTTTCAGAATAAAACATGTGCAAATGGACTGGTAAATTTGTTACTTCTCATATAAACTTTTTTAATGTGAGTTAACATTTATAAATCCTATTGACGTTTTAATTTACTCATTCATAGATCTTTCGTTTTATAAAAGTAATTATCATTAGCTAAAGTTATTATTAATTCTCGATCATCCCCTTGGAAACTCTGATAATGCAGTGGTGAGAAGTTGTACTGCAATCCCAAAGGCACATGGTTCAAATCCATCAGCTGCTCCACAGGAGAAAGAATGGACACACTCTTCCAATGCCTCTGAAAACTTGCTGGAGACTATGAATTGGTTCTGACTTGACAGCACACACCAACAATAATCAATTTTTTTGTTGTGTATTACCTTTCCCTTTACCTAACTTGTTGTTCTTGTTATGTGCCGTCGAGTCACATGCAACTCATAGTGACCCTATGTACACAAGCCCTAAACCTGCTCTATCCTGTGCCAATCCCACTGTCTCCAACACACCTACCTCCATTACCTCAGTCACTGAATCAATCCATCTTATTGAGGGTCTTCCACTCCTGGACTGTCCCTCCACCCTCCCAAGCATGACAGACTCTCCAAGGACT